TGGGTTGGTTGTTCCTTTGCTGGTGCGTTTGCACACTTTTCTTATTTAGGTACCATTTTGATTTTAGCAATTCAGCAGGTTGATGATTAAAGGTCTTTATTTTGTTTTCCAGTAGATGGTGCCATAGCTCAAGTTTTTGTTTTCTCTTACTTGTGCTACTTGCACCCCTAGAGTTGCGGTGGGCGGGGCGTGGAAGGACATTGCTGTGCTTGTGGGAGTCACCACCTGAGTGACCAAGATGATCGATGTCTGCACCATGTCCAGATCGCTTGGGTTTCAGGGCAGCACCGCGGCGGCGGTGGTGGAGGTGGAGGGGGCTGGGCATGTCAGGTGGGAACGAGCTGGGCTCACGAGCCCACTGCACCGCTAACTGGTTCCCTACGGCTGCTGGCGCTCCTGGCGCTGCTGGCGCTGCTGCCGCAGGGCTCTGCTGCAGCTGGCGGAGGGAGCCAGGCTCCTGGCTCCTGCCCCCTGCCCCTCCGGCCCTCTGCTTGATGCGGGAACTGCACGCCCGCTCCTCCGCGGCTCCTGCGTTAGCTGGGACTGAGTCACGGTGAGTGGGCAACATGTCTGTGGGCACCGTCCCGCCTCCCCTGGGTGTTTCAATATGCACACATGTACCAATGTGTGGATGTCGCAGGCATGCTCGTGTTTGAGCATAGATAACCGTTATTTGGTTATAAATGGATGACTAATTGTAGATTGAAGGGGAGATAAAACAGTGCCTTCTCATTCCGCCATGATGCTGATGTAACTCCCATCTTAACCATTTTTAAGTGTGCAGTTTGATAATGTTAAGCACATTTGCATTGCCGTGCAACCGATCTCCAGAACTGTTTTCATCTTGAAAAGCAGAAACTCTATGTTCATTAGACATTACCCCCTATTTCTCCTCAGGCCTTGGTACTCACCAGTCTGCTCTCTTCCCTCTTTATGATTTTCAGGACTCTGGGTATCTGACAAAGGTGGAATCACAGAACATGTGTCCTTTTGTGACTGGCTTATTTCATTTAGCATAATGTTCTCCAAGTGCACCCACGCTGTAGCATGTTTCAGAATTCCTTTCCTTTGTAATGCTGAATAATATTTAATTGTATGCATATGCCAAATTTTATTTATTCATTCACCTGTAGATGGACATTTAGGTTGCTTCCATCTTTTGTTTATTTTGAATAATGCTGCTACGAACGTGGATTTACAAAATCCCTTCAAGATGTTGATTTCAATTCTTTGTATGCATATCCAGAGGTGAAATTACTGAATCATATGGTATTTCAAATTTTAGCTTTTGAGCGACTCCTATACTATTTCCATCATTTTACATTCTTACCAACAGTGCACAAGGGTTTCAATTTCTCCTTGCTAACACCTGTTATTTATTTTTTTTAAATAGGTGTGAAATGGTATCTCATTGTGGTTTTGATTTGTATTTCCCTTTTTATTTGTGATATTGAGCATCTTTTCATATGCTTGTTGACCATATATGTATATTTTTGCAAAAAATGTTAATTCAGGTCATTGGCCCATTTTTTAATTGGGTTGTTTGTTTTCCTTGTTGGTGAGTTGGAGAGCTATTTTACATATTCTGGGTGCTAATTTCTTATTAGATACATAATTTGCAAATATTTTCTCCCATTCCACAGGTTGTCTTTTCGCTTTGTTGTGTGTATTCTTTCATGCATAAATGTCTTAAATTCTGATATAGTCCACATCTTTTAACTTTATCGAGTGTGCTTTTGGTGTCATATACAATAAATCATTGCTAAATCAGTGTTATGAAACTTTCCCTATGCTTCTAAGAGCTTTATAGTTTTAGCACTTACATTTATGTTTTTGATTTATTTAGAGCTATTTTGTATATGATGTTAGGTAAGGATTCAACTTTCTTTTCTTACCTGTGCCTAGACAGTTTCCTTAGCACCTACTTGTTGGGGAGACTGTTCTGTCTCTGTTAGTCTTAGAACCTTTGTCTAAAATCGCTTGACTGTAAATGTGAGGGTTCTCTCTGTCCTCTCTATTTTATTCCAGTGGTCTGTGTGTTTGTTTTTAAGCCAGCACTACACTGTTTTGATTACTGTAGCTTTGAAGTCAGGAAATATGAGACCTCTCATTTTGTTCCTTTTTAAGATTGTTTTGACTATTTGGATCCCTTGAGAGTCCATAAGAATTTTAAGATGGATTTTTCTTTTTCTATAAAAGATGCTTGTGATTTTGATAGAGATTGTGTTAAACCTTAGATTGTTTTGGGTACTATTGACGTCTTAACAATACTGTTTTCCAGTCTCTAAATGTGGAGTGTCTTTTCATTTATTTATACATTGTTTAATTTCTTTAACAATGGTTTGTAGATTTCAGTGTACAAGTTTTTTACCTCCTTGGTGAACGTTTATTCCTACATATTTTATTATTTGGATATTGTAAATAGAATTTGTTTTTAAATTTACTTTATAGATTGTTCATTGTTAGTGTATGAAATGCAACTGATTTTTGCCTATTGATTTTGTAACCTTCAATTTAGCCAACTATGTTCATTAGTTCTAACTGTGTGTGTAATCTTTAGAGTTTTCTACATATAACCTGGGATCAAAGATAATTTTACTTCTTTTTTTTCTAGTTTGGATTTTTTTTATTATATTTCTTTCCTAATAGCACTGGCTAAAAGCGCCATTATTATGCTGATTAGAAGAGACCAAAGCAGGCATCCTCATCTTGTTCCTGATATTAGAAAAAAAACTTTGTCTTTCATCATTGAGCATGGTGTTACTTGTGAGTTTCATATATGGTCTTTATTATGTTGAGGTAGTTACTTTCTATTCGTAGTTTTTTGAGTATTTTTTTAAATCATGAAAAGATGTTGAATTTTGTCAACTATTTTTCTGTATCAAATCAGATAATCATGCATTTTCCCCTTCATTCTGTTAATGTGATATATTGTAGTGATTGATTTTTGTATGTTAAACCATCCTTGCTTTCCAGGAAAAATTCCCACTTTGTTGTGGCATATAATCCTTGTAATATGCTGTTGAATTCTATTTGATAGACTGTTAATAAGGATTGTTGCATCAATGTTCATCAGAGTTGTTAGTTTGTAGTTTTGTTTTCTTGTAGTGTCTGTGTCTGGCTTTGATATCAGAGTAATGTTTGCATATCATAAAATTAGTTAGGAAGAGTTACTTCCTCCTCATTTTTTGGAAAAATTTGAAGAGAATTTGTGTGAATTATTTTTTAAATGCTAGGTAAATTCAACAGTGAAGCCATGAGGTCCTGGGATTTTCTTTGTTGGGAGGTTTTTGATTATTGATTCAATCCCTGTTACTAGTTATGCATCTATTCACAATTTCTATTTCTTCATTACCAACTCTTGGTGGGTTGTGTGTTTCTAGAAATTTATCTCTTTTATCTAGTTATCCAATTTGTTTGCATACAATCTTTTCATAATATTCTCTTATAATCCTTTTTTCATTTGTGCAAAATCACTTGTAATGTCTTCAATTCTGGTTTTAACTATTTAAGTCTTTTTTCTTAGTCTCTATAAAAGGTTTGCCAATTTTGTTGATCTTTTCAAAGAATCAATTCTTGGTTTTGTTGATTTTCCCCATTTTTTAAAATTTTCTTTCTTTGTTGATCTCTGGTCTAATCTTTATTATGTTCTTTTTCTAGCTTTGATTTCAGCTTTCTTCCCCCGTTAGTTCTTTACAGTCTAAAGCTAGGTTGTTGATTTGAGATATTTCTTTTTTTAATGTAAATGCTTATAGCTATACTTTTTCTTCTTAGTACTACTGCAACTGCATCCCACAGTTCTGGTAAGTTGGGTTTTTATTTACACTTGTTTCAAGATATTTTAAAATTTCTCTTGTGATATCTTCTTTGACCTATAGGATTTTTCAGTCTTTCTTTTGCTACTGATTTCTGGTTTCATGTCATTGTGACTCTACAAGCTACTATGTGATTCCAGTCTTCTAAAATTTATTAAATTTTGTTTTGTGGTGTAACATATGGTCTGTCTGGGAGAATTTTCTGTGTGCACAGAATTTTCCAAGAAAAATGTGTATCCTACCCTTGTGTGTGCAGTGTTCTGACATGTCTGTTAGTCCAATTGCTCAATAGTGGTGTTCAAGTCTTCTGTTTCTTTATTGATCTTCTCTCTGGTTTTTCTATTGATTATTGAATGTGGGGTGTTGCTTCTACTACTATATTGTGTTCCCGTCTATTTCTTTCATTAACTTTGTCAATGTTTGCTCTGATATTTGGTATTTATATATTTATATTTATATTTGTTGTCTCTTCTTGGTGAATCAGATGGCATTGGCATTTTGGGGAGCCATAAGGTTTGTATTTTATAAACCAAAATATGGTAATCCTTACTTTTATAGGTTTATGCTTACTATCTTTTGATAATGTTTACTATATTTTGATAGTATTGAAGGGTCTTACGTACTTCAATATTAAGAAATAAATTGACTAATGCTTTCTTTGAGAACCTTTTTTAAGTGTTTTAATGTCTGATTTATGCAGAGGTCCAAACATCATTATTTAATGTGGACTTGAGCCTTTAATATCCTGAACGGATTGGGTCCTCCAAGCAAGTGCAGACCCCTAAGCTCTGCCTGGCTTAGCCTGGCCTTACTGTTGCCCTCTTTTCCTACCACTCTTCCGTCCAAGTCTGACTAATTAACCCTATGCTGCCCACCTCCAGTGCGCCCGTCTCCCGTCATGGCTGATTTTCTGTCTAGGCAATGTTAAGTAAATTATGGGTTTCAGCCAAAATTTCCTGCTTGCTGAGCACAATGCCTGGACAGTGTACCTACTCAATAAATACTAAGTGGATACAAAGATTGTTGTAACCTGGAATCCACACACATCCTGGGGATGTGAAATGAAACTCAGAGACTCAGGGATTTTCATGTCACGCTCAAGCTGGGACCAGTTAATCCATTCTTTAATGTCATCTAGGGGAGGGGCTTGACTTGGGAAGCAAAGGGCTGAACCCACAGAGGCAGCTATTGTTGCATGGGGTTCACCATCTTTCCTACAAAGAGGGGAATGTTGGTCCTTTCATCCATGACGATGACTAAGAAGGGCCTGTTGAATTTGATGATCAGGTACCTGAACCGGGCATGCTCTTCTAAAAGGGTGGTTCCAGAATGTTCTGTTCCATTCCCATCAATGGTCAGCACAGCCTTATGCAGCGCCTGGAAGGGAGGGAGCAGAGGCATGTTTGCGGCAGAGGCAGGCCGCACTGTCCTCTTCCCTGGCCTGGGAGCAAGGCCTGGTGTGGAGGGAGCTGTCCTGAGGGCCCAAGGGAGGGGTCGGTCCTGAGACCCTGTGGGGCCCTGGGTCTCTACAGCATTTCCTTGACTGAAAAACGAGACAGTGAAAAAAAACAGGCAGAATTGCCAGCCAGGTCTGTACCATTTGAGCATTTTTCCTCAAGAACCACTTGATGTCCAGCTGGAACCATCACAGCATAGTGAAAGGACAGGGCTCTCTACCACAGCGTCTGGGCTGAAATCCCGCTTTTCCCACTGGCTAACTAACTGTGTCACCTCAAGGAGCTGAATACTCTTCTTGAACCCTCACGTTCCCAAGTAGTAAAAACAGAGCTACATGACATGATCCCCACAAGCCAGTAAGTGCTCTATGTGGGAAACCTCAGTCAGTGGAGGTGCTCAGGAAATGTGTGTGTGTCTGTGCATGCATGTGTTAGAGGTGAGCGTGTATGTGCACGCTCATGAGTACAACGAAGTCAAAGATATTTATCTGCTAACGGTGGGGCACCATCAACTGCTTACACGTACTTACCAACTTCATCCCAGACTCGTCCTCTTCACCTTTCCTTCCCTAGGGGCTGGTCCCTTCCCTGCCCCTCAACACCATGCTCAGGCCTCTCATCACCTGGCATGTCTTTCCCCAGCCAGGTCCCCCTTCCCTGCAGGGGACACACCGCCCCGGATCCACCTCGTCAGGGCCTTGGCCTGACTCCACCTGCGCACCCTCCCCGCTTGCTGACCCACATTCTCAGCCCCCCTGGAAACGACTCGCCACCTCAGGAGGCAGATGTACTTGAACTTTCTGTCCTCCTTGCCGTGTCTCTTGTTTCTAGTATCCGATCTTAAGCCCCTTGGGGACCAGGACTTTGAGGGGGACCTTTATAGCATCTGGCCCACAACTCGACACTCAGTTCGTAGCCAGTATTGCAACGGAGTTGTTTCCTTGGTCACCTTTAATTCTCCTGAATAAATGGCATCTTTAGCCAAAATCACTCATTAACTCGGACTTGCTGACTCATCAGTAGCTCCCAATGACACAGGATGTGGGGCCAAAAGCCTTTGAAACCCCTGACCCTAAGTCTGCCTTTGTAAACATGGGCCCATCGAGGCCCCGACCAAAGGTGAGGCAGAGGGTCAGTGACACTACCTCAGAGGACGTCCCTAAAGTGCCAGAACACATGAGGCCACCTCCTTCACTCCTTCACTCAGTCGCCTGACCACATCCCAGGCTTGGTGAGCCCAATGGCATTGCTCAGAGACCGCAGCGGGGAGGTGTGTTTGCGTCCCTTTGTCCCCTCACCCTGAGCCTCTGCCCCGTCCGTACACATTCGGACCTACGGAGCCCGGGGACAAACTCACCTTGGACAGCTTCAGGGATGTCCCCTCACTGATCCCCGAGAGATCAGCCGCGTCACTGAAGACCTTGGTGATGCCCATGTTGCTCAGGGCGGTTTTCAGATCGTAGGTTCCAGAAATGGACAGCTTGGGCAAATGTAAACTGGCAGACCTGTCAAGATGGTTAGAAAACAAAGGAATGCCACACATTGAAAATGTTTCCTCTTCTAGTCATTTCTCCCACATAGCACCCTGTCTGCCTGCCGACAAGGGGGATGGGGGTTGGCATTGATTTATTGTGTTTTTATGTCCTCTAGCCCTGTGTCAGGGAACGTTAGATGAGATGGGTCCTCCTGTCCTGCAAAGCCTCTCAAATGCCACCTCCTCTGAGAAGCCCTCCAGGCAGATCCAGGGTGTCCTCCGTAAGCAGTTTGCACACCGCCCTGTAGAGTTTGGTCACCCCCAGACTGGGATTTGGAGGCTGGGATTCCAGGGGAGCGTGGGGTGTATGTGGTGTCAGGTGCTGAGTGACATTTGCTCAGTGACTGCTGAGTGATGCACAGGGCTCATTGCTCAGCTTTTGATCTGCATGGGGACGAAGTGTGGCCCTGAGAAGGGTCAGACATGATTCTGGCCAGGGACTTTCTGTTTACTCCACATTCCACCTTTGCCCGGAAGCCACTGCTTCCTCCTTGATTCTCTCCTGGCGTGGGTTGGTGCCGCTCTCCCTGAACCAGGTGCTGACATGGGAAGGGGCAGTGTCCATGCTGTAAGTCCCAAGGGCAGGGCTTTTGCCTTCTCAGCTGTGGGCACTGTCCCTCTCATGGAGCCTGGTTGGTGCTACCTAAACTGATGCTGGCCTCTGTCTGAGCACAAGGTCATGCTTGAGATGTGGGTCCCCCGTCCTTTGGTCCTCTGGCCAGGCCTGATGTGGCCACTCCCAGGCAGCCCCGGGTTGGGAATCACCGTAGGTCGATGGCTCTGAGGAGCCTGGAGAGGCGCTGGCGGGAGAGCCTGTCCTCCAGCTGCTCCATCTTGCCTGGGTCGGGCAGGATCAGGAGGCTGAAGACTCTGCCCCGACAGCTCTGCCGCAGCACCCAGCACGCGAGCTCCTGGTCCTGGTGCAGGTAGAAAAAGCCCATGTGCTGGCTCATGGGCACCTTTAGGGTGGTCTTCCTGTCCACATGGAAGTCCTCTTCCTCAAAACGCTCAGTCTTGAACTTATCCTTCCACTTGCCTGGAGAGAGGCGAGGGTGCGTATCAGCCGGGGCGGGGAGGGTTAGGCACCTGGGGTGGAGGGAAGGGGCCCCCGGCTGCCTCCTGCACGGGCCCGCCCTGAGCCTCAGCTTCCCCGTCTGAGCAGTGGCGCTCCCACGGACACCGGTCCACTGCGAGGACTTCTGTGAGGACGATGCCAGGCGCCAGCACGGCCCAGGCTTTCTGTAAGGCAGGGGCTGGGGGCTGCCCGTCAGGCCGGCCGAGGGAGCAGTGTGGCTGGTACTCCGTGCTTATCTCACGCAGGGCTGCTGGGACGGTCCGAAATGCCAGTTATCGGCCTCGGCCACAGCGGGCACATCCTTGTCCGAGTGTCCCCGCCCCTTGTGAGTCCGCGGTTCTCACCGTTCAGGGAAGGCACTCAGCCCCCCTTGCTCTGATGGCCTCCTCCTGGGCCCGCGGGGCAACGCGGAGGCCTGGGCGCCTCCCCTCTGCCAGAGCCAGGGGCCGCCGCCATCCTGGCAAGTCAGAGCAGACAGCAGCCTCGGGGGCCCCTGAGCCCAGGTTCCTCTTTGCATGGGGGACGGACACTGAGGCTGCAGAGGGGACAGGAGCCGCCTCAAGTCCCCTGGCAGAGCTGGGACCCGCATGCACGGGCCAGCCTGGCCTCGGCGCTCTCTGTCGCGCGGCTCTGCCTCAGACCAGGGCGTGCAGGGCCCAGCCCCTGACCTTGGCCCCTCCTCCCAAGCGCCGGGCTATTTCCAGGGCCTGTGAAACAGCCTCAGGATGCCCTGTGGGACCCACAGCTTTCTGACACACTTCCGTCACTCAGGGGGAGGAAGGCAGGCTGAGAGTCAAGTTTAGTTGAGAACCTACTTTGTGAGCATATAGTCCCACGTTCTTTGCGACACGCTGGCTCCTGACAGAAACGCGACAACAAGGGTGTTATTACGTTCACGTTCCTGGTAGGAAACTGGACCGTCCAAGAGGTAAACTGACTTGCCGATAGTCACACAGCTAATGGGTGGTAGAGGCGGGGTTTGAACCCTGGTTTCTGACTCTAAAGCTGTCACTCCTCTCACTCCATGAGTTGTTCAATGTACAATTCAGGCCCCCCTGTTTCCTTCATACACTCTGCTAAGAGCGCTCGTGTCCTGGCTCCCTGTCTGGGGAGGTGTGGCACAGCTGGCCTCCCTCCCTGGGGGGTTCACGATGCCCGTGAGAACGTGCCCGAAAGGCTCTGACAAGGAAGTCCTGCAGGGAAGGTGCCGCTCGGCCTGTGAGCCCTGGCTCCCTAACCGTGTTTGGGCTCGGAAAGTGTGTTAGGGGCTGTGTGGGGAAAGCCGAATAAGCCACGGGAGGCACGCGGTCACACGGCCTCCTGCACCGCCGAGGGGAGTTTAAGAACTGAGTGTGTGAGAGCCGTTTTGGGCGTTTCCATGGCAAGAAGCTCAGGCTGGTTGTGCAACCTTACCTTTAAAGAAGATGTAATTCACCAGAGCGAAAACAGTTTCTTTGTCAAGTTCTTTGACCAGATCCACGATTTTTCCTTGGGTGCCCTTCTCTACATAATCGTTGATCTCTTTCTTGGCTTTTTCGGAGTCCTTGAAGTTGGTGGAGATGGCTTCTGAGTGGTACAGTGTCTTGACATCCTCCAAAAACTTCGCCACTAGTTTTGCGCTCTCTTCGATGAACAAGCCGTTGCCAGTGGTCAGCTGCAGCTGGTCGTCCGGCCGGTTAAGGGTTCGGAGTAGACTTTGGAAGCCTTTGTGGATGTCAGCCTCTGCTCTCTCAGTGAGGTTGAAACCTGCGCCCTCCAGGACCTGGGTGTGCGTGTCCCCCTTGGCGCCCAGCGAGAGCAGGGCAAAGGCGGTGACGATGCTCACTGGGGAGAAGAAGATGTTGGTGGCATTGGGCTGACGGGAAGCCTGGCGGTAGAAGCTGAAAGCAAAGTCAGCCAGGCTCAGGGTGATTGGATGGCTGCCTGACACCTGATCGAGCCGGGATGCGTCCGTGTCCCGGACAGCATCTCTGCGGAGACTGTGCGCCCGGGAGGCCGGGGCCAGGCAGCACAGGCCTGCCAGCAGGAGGAGGCTCCACACGGTGGAGGATGGCATTGTCCTGCAAGAGAGAAAGGGCATCATGCCCAAGTCAGGCGACACAGTGTGTCCCCTGGCCCCCGAGTAACGGTGCGTAAAGCCACCGGAGTTTATTAAATGCCTGCTTCGTGCAGTGTTGTGCAAGAACCTTCCTACATCTTCGTCACTGAAAAGACTCAGAACAGTAGCTAAGACGTTTACAGTGCTCACTGTGTGCCAAGCTCTGCTCTGAGCACTTCACTCTCTCATCTCAGTGCCCTTCCCATAACAATCCTGTGATCTAGGTCACATGAACATTCTCAGTCTACAGATGAGGAGACCAAAGCTCCATGGGGTTATGTCACTTGTCCAAGGTGACAGAACAAGGAAAGTAACGGCCAGAATAGCGCACAGGTAGTGTGGGTCTGGAGTCCCTGCTGCACAGCCTCCCCGACATCTGCAGTGACCCTGAGGTGCCAGTGCCATGGCCCTCTTTTGCAAAAGAGGAAACTGAGGCATGGGGTATACACAAGGTGCCCGCACACAGTGACCCAGGAAGCAGCCAGGTCAGGCTCAGGGATGACTGGGTATGGAGGAGCCCTCGGGTGGCTGCCATTCAACTTTGTTGTTTAATGAGCAGAGCCCAGAGGGGGAAGGATCCTGCCAAAGGACACAGAGCCAGATCACCAGAGCATGAGGACACCCCCGCTGCCTGGCACTGGTCCAGCCTCCCCGGCACGCCACAAACTCCATGCATGTTTTCTCACAGCAGCTACCGCTCTCACGTGGAGGCTGCGGGGGCCTGGAGCGGGTTATTATCTGGCCTGTATGGGCCCAGGCCCAGGGAGTGCTGTTGAGAAAAAGCGCAGGAAGCCCTTAAGCCGGAGGCCCTCACAGACGTTCATTGATCTTTGTCTCGTGGAGTGTCTTGCTATCCCAATTCTACAGGAAGTCCAAAGTGACATTTGAGAGGGTTAGTAACTTGCTTAGGGCCACACAGAGACCCAGGACAGACAGATCTCTGTGCTTCTGGTCTGGTGCTCTGTGTCTAGCGGTACTCACCCTCCAAGCCTTCCCGAGTGGGAACTTGGCTGAGTCCAGGGGTCGGCACACAGGGAGTCAGGGGTCTCAAGCTTGGCACTGTAAACATTCTGGGCTGCAAAACTGTGTATGGCGGGGGCCTGTCCTGTGCATTGGGGGGTGTTTAGCAGCAGCCTAGATGAAATCAACCCTCAGCTGTGACAATAAAAAATTCTCCAGGTTTACCCAGTGACTTCCCAGGTCAAAAGTGCCCCTGTGGAGTCCCCTGGTGGGGCCCGAGGGGCTCAGAGCATGAGGCCCCCTTGGGAGCCTCCTCCTGAGTTAGATGGACCTGTCACTTCAGAGGGGACTTGGGCCAACCGAGCCTCAGCTGTGCCAGCTCGCTGTGGGCAGTGTTCATTCGACCCCATCAGTTTGGAGTGTTCATTCTTCTTGGCGGGGACTTTGTCTAGGGATCCCAGGATTCTGCTGTGGCATGTTGTGCCAAGGCCTTCAGGAGATGCAGCAAACCTTCTCTCCTGTCACCTTGGGAGCCTGGGCATCCTGTGGGCCTTCTGCCACTGGGTGCTCAACGACGACCATCCCTAAGAGGCTTAATGACAGCAGTCTCCGAGTGCCAGGGCTGCTCCCACTGAATAGTCAGGCACAGCCATAGCCCCTCGAAGCCATGCCAGGCTGGCCCGACGCTGAGCCTCAGGCCCCACCCCCCAAATTGTCTGCGGTCCCCGCCGTCCGCTCACTGCCCACATGGGCAGAGCCTGCCTCCCAGCCTGGGCTCAAATGACAGGTCCTCAGAGATGCTGATTTATCCAGGGACACAGGGTGGATATTGGGGGCAGGAGTTGGTGGAAAGCATTTCTTTCAGCTTTTGATAGGCCTGGCTTCTGATCTGCCTCTGTCATTTCCCAGCTGTGGACCCCAAAATTCTAATCTCTCTGAGCTTTCCCTTTAAAATGAGATTTTTGGGAGAAGTGAGTAAAATCAGCCTCGTCATCAAGATTTACAGCCAGAAGGAGCCCTGGAGATCAGCTCTCAGGGCAAGAAGGTCATGGGTTTTGCAAACTAAAACTTTTAGCGTCAGAGCGGGCCGGCTGATATCAAGATGGTCCGTGAACCCAGATAGGAAAGGGGAAGAGGTGATAGAAAAGATAGCAGGGTTATCTGAAGAGTTAATGAATACACCTCAGCCTTTCAGAGGCCAAGGCCAGGGGTCTGCGGTGGAGGAGGGTGGGGGCCTGGGAGCGGGAGTTGGGGCGGGGGGGACTGAAGGCCGTGCTCCAGAAACTGGAGAAAGCTAAACGGGCATCTGGTCTAGCCAATAAGTTAGGCAGGGCATGGACTCAAAGGTAAGGTCGAGGCCTCTGGCCCGAGACAGGCGAGAAGGAAGGATCCTGAGGTAGAGAAGTGCGGGGAGAAGCAGGGCGAGGGAGGGCGGCAGCCGGGGGCACTCGCCCCTGCCTCTGCAGTTGTGAGAGTCACCGGTGAATACCCCTGAGGCCACAGGGAGAGGGTGGAGAGAACAGTGGCAGCAGGCGGCTGTACCCATGAGCAGGTCTTGTCTTAGAGGGCCTACTATGAGCTGGGGCGTCTGAGGGAAGCGATTCCGTCACCCACTGACTGCCCTGAGCCGGACAGTGAAGGCTCGCTGAGCGGCTTCCAATCCTGACCCTGCGCCCGGTTTTCCCCTCTGTTGGGTGGCGACAGTAACCCTGGCATGGTGGCCCGGCCTTACCACCGCCCCCCCGCATCCCACCCCCTCTGCCCAGTGTGGCCCCCCGTCGCCCCGGCGCTGGCCCAGGAGGAGGCCGTTGGCAGTCACTCACTCAGCAGGCGGGACTCACCTCTGCAGAGACGCTCGCTGGGCCGGACTCGTCCCACAGGCAGTCCCACACCCTCTCGCAGCCTTACCTACTTATAGGGCTGCCTCGGGGGTGGGGGCACTAAGTGCCATGGCCCAGTAACGCCTCCACCCCATCATGTGGTAAATGAGCCTGGGGAGCCTCCCGCGCTCAGCCAGCGAGCGCTCAGCCAGCGAGCGCCTGATATCATTGGAGGACCTTGCTGTCCCTGCCTGAGGTGGCCTAGTCCACTGGAACGGGCAGGGACGAGGCCACCTGAAGGGTGGGGTGATGGGAGCCCTTGGCCATGTATGACCAAAGGTGCATCTGCCTTTGATACCCACCTCATGGGTCTGTGGAGAGGAGCAAACGAGTGAAACACATCCAGAGCCTGGAACTGTGCCCGAGATGTGGTTGACCTGCAAGAAATGTCAGCAGCCTGGAGTCCCTGGGCCTGTTGCTGCCAAGGCGCCGGCCCGAGGAAAGCTCACGTCGAGGGCTGGAGCCGGACTCAAAGCCCATTTGTACAGGCACAGAAGGGGGATAGCAGGCACCTGCCAAGGGCCAGGGCTCAGAGCCACCACGTGAAAGAATGGCATTGGCCGCCCTGGTGTAGTTAGAGTCTTGCAGAGTATCAGTCCTCCGGGACTTGATGTTCATATATTGCTAGTGAGAACTGAGGCTCACAGAGAGAGGCGACTCTCCCAGCTCCTGGGGCCAGCGAGTGGCAGAGCTGTGAAAAGATCCCAGGCTCTGTGCCTCCGGACCAGTGTCCACGGTGACAGGTAGTGCACTCATCTGCAGTTTACTCCTCTGCTACTTCTCTGCTGGTGAATCAAGAGACAGGAGAGTGGGAAGCCAGCCCTGAACTACTCCTTTTGGAATCTACGGTCTTGATTAATGTTGAATATTTGGTGAGAACCAGCACTAAAAAACACTTTGCAGAATAATCCACAGGAGAAACTTTTAATGGGGTAGGTCTCATTATACCCATTTTGCAGTGATGGAAACTGAGGCACACAGAGCCCAAGTGGCCTGCTCATGGGTCTGAACTAATTAGAGGCTGATGTGGGATTACTGGATTCCTTCTGCTTTGTGATACTGCCTTTAGCATTTTTTATCCTAACATTTTAATGCTGACGGTCACCTCAGAATGAAAGGAAATTAAGTGATAATGCTGAGAGCATATTTTGGGCCTATTGATAATTGTGGACTAAAGAAAAATAGCTTTCTAAAATTAATACAGTTCTCTGTATCTACAAGTCAGTTTCAAGTTTATTTGTTAGTTTCTTTTGTTCGTTAGATTCCACATTTAAGTGAGATCATATAGTACTCATCGTTCTCTGCCTGGCTTGTTTCACTTAGCATAATACTCTCCAGGCCCATCCATGCTGTCGCAGAGGGTAAGAGTCCCTCCTTTCTCTCTCTGTGTAGCCCTCCATTGTGTGAATGTACCACCGCTTCTTTATCCACTCATCTCCTGATAGGCACTTGGGCTGCTTCCAAATCTTGGCTATTGGTAAAAAAGGTGAAAGGATTGAGCAAAAATTTTAAAAAAATAATAAAAAAAAAAAACAGAATGAAAAAGAGACACAGAAAACAGTGTGGGGATTGCCAGAGAGAAGCGGGTAGAAGTGGGCAGCAGAGGGCAAGGCAGGGATGAGCGAGGGCAGAAGGAGACGGGACTCGGGGCAGCAAGCGCACGGCGCAGCAGATGGTGCATTGTAGAGCTGTGCCCTTCAAACCTGTAGGGTTTTATTAACCAGTGTCACCCCAATAAATTCAATGAGAAAATGAAAAAATAAAATTATGACCTATTTCTAACTTGCTCTGTTCACTGTGTTCTCTATGAAAGTTCCACTATGACATTAAAAAAAAAAATTCTAACAGCCTTCATCTTTCATTGCATGGTGTACACTTTGTTCCCAGATAATCAAAGTGATAAAAAGCAGCACGAAGTGAGCACCTGGTCATGGAAAGCAGCCTTGACTTCAGAGAGCAAACGTCCCCGGTCATTATCTGTCAACTGCACCTGGGGCCAGACCTTCCCTGTGAGGCTGTCCTGCTCCCCTGTGACTTCACACTGTGCCTCCCAGGTTTCCTGGCACATGCTCACCACAGCCCCTGGGCGACTCTCCCCTCACCCCCCCTCCGGCTTCTCCCCTTCCCCGCCGCATGAGTGTACCGCCTCTCGTCCGGCACCTTCTAGTGCGGTGCCCTCCTGAGGGCGGCCCCTGCGCCTTCCCTCATCCTTTCTGATCTTCGCCACCACTGAAGGCTCTCTTCTTAGGCGCAGTCTTCTTTGAGGGCATTTTCTCCGATTCTAGGTGCATCAGTCAGGGGGAGCTGGCTTTTGCTGTGGCAACAAAGAGCTCAGTGGCTGGCGGCCCGGGCTGCTGCCTGTGTCCTTGCGCGGGAGGCAGCTGCCTGGTGAGTGTGCCTTTCACTGATTTCTCCACTCACGAGCCCTATTCCCATTCGTCCCCCAAGACTTGGCTCAGTTTCCTTCCAAAGCCGCCCCGCAGGGCCTGGCCATGAGCATGGCCGTGTGCGTTGCTGGCAGGACCAGTTGTGACTATCCAAAGAAGGACAAAACAGAAAGGCCCCGCCTCTGAAGGGGCTTCTGGGTGGCCCAGGTTGCATGTGGGTGTTTGCGGTTAGGTGCTGATGGAAGGACTCTGAAGGCACACGCTCACCATGCGTCAAGGCCTCCTTTGTCCCCATGATAGACCGGCATTCTTCGGGCGTGGGCCTGGGTCTCCTTCTCCCTATCCCCAGGATTTTGCAGGTACCCAGGAAATGTTTGCGTTTTCTTGTGGAACATATGCCCGCCCCATGGGCTTGTGTAGAGCGTCAAGGAAGCCCATGGAGTGGAAATCAGTAAGTAGTCCGTATTTCCCATTTCTGAATCAGTGCACGTGCATGAGAGCCCAGGACCCCCCTTGACCTCGGTCTTCACTTTACGGACTGAGTCTCAGAATGCCCCACCGGACGGGGCAGAGCTTGCACTTACTCAAAAGCTTGTTGTTTATGTCTAAAATGGAACTGCTGGGTCTTTCCCTGCAAACTGAGCGAGAGGGAGGTCATGCCCTGTTGTCCCTGGCTCAGCTGGAGGTGGCTTGTGTATTTCTTGCTCACCTCTCTCAGAGAAGAGCTGGGTCCCTGCTGAAGGGGGAGCTGACCTGGACCAGCCCAGAACCCCCAGCTGCTGTGTCTTCAGTTGGGGTTAGGCCATAGGCGGGCCTGTGCGGGCTGGAGGTTGGAATTGCTCAGAAGGTCTGAGATGGTCTGAGAATGTATGCCGACGGGACAGCCCGGGCCGAAGAGGGGGTCCTGCCTTCCAGGCCTGGGCCTTCCCACCTGTTGGAACTGCATCTCCCCATCTGTAAAAGGGGAGTAAGGATTCCTAGCCTGGGTCCTTCAAGGACCGATTTTGAGGGTCAGCGGATACGTTTCAGACACCCTAGCAGGGGTGTCAGTGGGGCCCAGCGTGGCTGTGAATGGGGTCCAGGGTGGCTCTGAATGTGGCCCAATACAAAATTGTAAATTTACTTAAAACATTATGAGATTGTGTGTGTGTGTGATCATGTGTCACAACGTATTTAATATGTGGCCCAAGACAGCTCTTCTTCTAGTGTGGCCCGGACACCAAGAGGCTGGACACCCTGCGGACAGGCAGAGCTGGGGCTGATGGCTGTCCTGCCTGATTTGTGGCCCACTCTTGTCCTCCTTAGGACGAGGCTGCCCTGACACTTTGCCCACCCCATGACTGAACCCTGTTGGTTCCCACCCAAGCCAGTGAATTCTCCTCTGGGGGCTTTAAGCTCATTTGAATTGGCCTTCCGCCAACCAGAGTCCAGACCATGTAATGAGAGGCCATCCTTCAAGGTGAAATGATGCGACCTTAGGGGGAGCCCTCAGTTCATTCGGTCTTCCTGGCCTTTCCCAGGACACTCAGGAGTTCCAGCTGGCTGTCGCATCTGCCCCTTTGCCCCCCCGGAATGCCAGCATTGGGGAGTGTGAGTGTGCGGCTTGCTTACTGAGGCCTGTGCACCCTGTAACCTCGGGTGGGAGGAGCCACAGCAGATCAGCTGCTTTCCCGCTGGTCAGAGGGCGTTTTCCTTGCAGAGGTGTGTGCAGGGGTGGGGCACACACCTCTGCAAGTAGGTTTTTTTTGTTTTTGTTTTTGTTTTTGCAGGGTGGGAAGCTTTATTTCACTTGGGGTGAGGGAGAGCCTGGACAGAGGGCAGTACACACGGGGCAGGAGAGGTTGGCACTTGGACAGGGACTGGATGGGGGAAAAGCGGCCCCCAGGCCTTGGGAAGGAGAAACTGAGGCAGGCCCTGACTGAGACCTAACCCGGGGGGTGGGAATTGGGGGTGGGAATTGGGTCTGGAGGAATGAGGGCCCCCCGCTTATGGGCTGGACGGGGGCTCGGCCCTGCCTCATTTGCCTCCTATAGGGCCTCAGTCCTTCCTGTTCACTGGGCCACAGGACCCTCAAACCTCGCTGTCCCTGCCCCAGAGGAGGAGGTTAGGCCAGAGAGGGTAGTGGACAGGGAGCCTGGGAGAGTTAGGGAGCACGTGGTAGGGTCCATGGTGCCCAGGAGGGAAGGCGGCCACCTGGGCCGTCGGTTCCGGGTAGTGATGACGACAGGGAGAGCCAAGCCCCCCAGGGCAACAGCAGTTGCCTCAACAGCCACTTCCAGGGCTGGACCAGGCACCCTTGCCAGGACACTTGGCAGGCAGCCGGCTGGAGTTGCCCGGCATTTTCCAGTACAGGACAGCCTCCGTGCTTTGCTGGGCTGCAAGCTTTTTCCCTGGCTTCGAGAGCTCTGCGTGGATCGTCTTGTTGGAAGGTTCTAGCTTCAGGGCTGCCCTCGGGATGGGGGTGGCCTTGCTGTGCTCCCCTCGCTGGGCCAGCACCGTGCCCTTGCAGAAGAGAGCCGTGATGTTGTCAGGCTGGTGCTCAAACATGAGACTCCCAGAGCACAGTGCGGCCCGATTGCGGTCCAGCTTCAGTTGCGCGGCTGCCAGGTTGTTCAGACATTTCTCCTTCAGCCACAGGAGCCATTCCTCCTCCTTGAACATCATGCCCACGTTGGTGCTGGAGATGATGGTCTTGACGGCGAGGTCGTACGAGCTGGCGGCCAGCGCAAAGTCAGCCCGCTGGCGGTGAGCGCTGCTGCGCTCCTGCTGCCGGTTGGCCAGTGCCGCACGATCCTGCCTTGTGAGCCTCTCTAGGTCAGAGACCCCAGCCTTCCTCCTGCTGCAGGGAGGGATTCAGCCCTGCACTGACCAGTGGGGCCGTCTGGGAGGGGACGTAGGTGACGGCGTGAGGTTAGGAGGAAGAGTTCAGTCCCTGAAGCTAGTTCTGTCACTTAATAGCTCTGTGACCTTGAGCAAGATAGCTGGCCTCCCTGAGCCTCAGTGCCCTCATCTGCAGAATAGACATGTAAGAACAACACAGCTCTGCTCCCAACCTCCCATGCTGCTCTGAAGGCTCAGAGAAAATGCTGGAATAGCCCCTCCTAGAGAGCCAGGCTGATGGAAAGAGCTTGCAATGCCACGGATGAAGGCCCCAGCATTGGCACCCTGCTCTGCTCTCCCTGAAAAGCTGTTTTAACTATATGAACCTCATGCTAACTGAAAGTAGGTTTTATATTCATATGGGGATATACTGAGGCTCAGAGAGGTTTGGTGATTTCTCCAAAGTCACACAGCTGGAAAGTGACAGAATCTGAACTTGATCCAGGTCCTTAGATCCCCAGGCCTGGCATCATGTTTGGCAATGTTCATATCATCATTGGAATTAGAGGAAGCTGGAAATCTCTAGACAGGGAAAACTCAAAAGGGTATGGGGCTTATTTGGGAAATAGTTGAATCTTCTTCATCCATTATATTAAATCATGTGAAACTGGATCTATGTGGCCACTTTGACTTAAGAGTAAATTTCTATGACTCAGCCTGGCTCCTTAGGTGCACGCTCACCCCTGATGGGGGGCTTAGACTGTGATGACTAGGTCTGTGTGGCAAGAGGCAGTCCTTCCCCAGGACGAGCCCATCCCCGTGAGACTCCAGAGAGCGGGCTGCGCCAGGCCGGGTGTCCCACCAGCCCTCCTGACTGCCAGGCCCTGCGGCAGGGCCTGCGGGGAGGGGAGGAGCTGCGTGGCCTGTAGAGAGAAGTGCTGCTCCCAGGACAGCCTCTGGCTGTGGGCCAGGAGCTGGGCTTTCCCTTTGCAGACCACGGGGAAGGCCATGGGGTAGGAGGGAGGCGAACTGAACGTGTCCCCCTTCAGAGCTCAGCCAGGGAAGGGCCGGCAGGGCTGTTAGGGCGGTGGTTTGCTACACTTCCTCTCCCATGACGAAGGGACCATGATAATGACTTTCCAGAGCCATCCAGGCAGGACATCTTGGCCACATAATGAGGGAGGGCAAGGGGACATAGGATGTGTGTCTTGGGGCATTGACTGTCCTGGTGAGTTTGTGCAGGTGATAGGGACCAACACCAGAGACCCGTGTCTTCATTTGGGGGGAAGAGGCCTGCTTCTGGGAGGGCGCATTTGAGGGTTCTGGGGTAGAGATGGAGTGACAGGGGCAGAATATATGTTCCCAGTCCAGTCCCACTGGAACGGGCTCCTGGACAGATCGGCCAGAGCCATTTGTGGGGCAGACCCGCATGTAGATGGGACCCCGCCTGGCTCAGGGGACAGTGTGAGGTGAGAAAGGCACCTGGCCTCGCTCTGTTGCGGAGATGTGGCCGCTCCGTGCCCCGTGTGAGCTGAGGGTCCTGGGGGCACCGGAGAGGCAGCCTTGTGGTGGGTGCTAGCAGCCCGGCCAGGGGAGGGCTCCCACGCGGTATGGGTGGGGGCTTAGCAAGAGCACCCGGTGGACATTTTGGGGAGCGGGGCCCATGGGCTGGAATGTGAGCTGTGCGGTTCACCCCTAGTAATGCCCAGAAAGGACAGGAAACCCAGAGCTTTTCCACGGTGACTGGGGATGAGGCGGTGAGCCAAGACTTGTGGCCAGCATCTCCCCCTGCTGCGTGCAGCACTGGACAGTGTCAGCACCAGGTCGACAGCGGCACAGTGGGCGCCTGATTCCACACACCCTGGGGAAGAAGAGGGAGACTCCCAGACAAGAGGATGAGGGGTTGGCATGGCACACTCAAGCTTGGGCCAGGTCAGTCATTCTTTATTGGGTCGGGGGGACCCACCCTGGGAGGGGAGGGCTGAACCAGAGAGGCAGTTATTTTTGGGTGGGATCTACCACCTTTCCCACAAAGAGGGGACTCTTGGTGTTCCTATCATAGATGATGATGATGAAGGGCCTGTTGAACTCGACATCTGGGGGTATCGACATGGGAATGGCTTCCAGAAATGTGGCCCCGGAAGCTTCTGTCCCTCTCTCATCAATGGTCAGCACAGCCTTATGCAGGGCCTGGATGGGAGAGAGGTCACAGCCTGTTCTGAGTGGACGCAGACTTCCTGTATCCCCAAGGCCTGGGAGCAAGACCTGATGAGGACAGTGGAACCTGGGGAGGGGTCCCTGGGGCTGCCCCTACCGTCTGCAGGGGACACACTGCCCTGGATCCACCTCGTCAGGGCCTTGGCCTGACTCCCCCTGCGCACCCTCCCTGCTTCCTGACCCACATTCTCAGCCCCCCTGGAAACGACCCGCCACCTCAGGAGGCAGATGTACTTGAACTTTCCGTCCTCCTTGCTGTGTCTCTTGTTTCTAGTATCTGATCTTAAGCCCCTTGGGGACCAGGACTTTGAGGGGGGGACCTTTATAGTGTCTGGCCCACAACTCAACACTCAGTTCATAGCCAGTATTGCAATGGAGTAATTCTCCTGAATAAATGGCCAAATCTTTAGCCAAAATCACTCATTAACTCGGACTTGCTGACTCATCAGTAGCTCCCAATGACACAGGATGTGGGGCCAAAAGCCTTTGAAACCCCTGACCCTAAGTCTGCCTTTGTAAACATGGGCCCATCGAGGTCCCGACCAAAGGTGAGGCAGAGGGTCAGTGACACTACCTCAGAGGACGTCCCTAAAGTGCCAGAACACATGAGGCCACCTCCTTCACTCCTTCACTCAGTCGCCTGACCACATCCCAGGCTTGGTGAGCCCAATGGCATTGCTCAGAGACCGCAGCGGGGAGGTGTGTTTGCGTCCCTTTGTCCCCTCACCCTGAGCCTCTGCCCCGTCCGTACACATTCGGACCTACGGAGCCCGGGGACAAACTCACCTTGGACAGCTTCAGGGGCGTCTCCTCACTGATCCCCGAGAGATCAGCCGCGTCACTGAAGACCTTGGTGATGCCCATGTTGCTCAGGGTGGTTTTCAGATCGTAGGTTCCAGAAATGGACAGCTTGGGCAAATGTAAACTGGCAGACCTGTCAAGATGGTTAGAAAACAAAGGAATGCCACACATTGAAAATGTTTCCTCTTCTAGTCATTTCTCCCACATAGCACCCTGTCTGCCTGCCGACAAGGGGGATGGGGGTTGGCATTGATTTATTGTGTTTTTATGTCCTCTAGCCCTGTGTCAGGGAACGTTAGATGAGATGGGTCCTCCTGTCCTGCAAAGCCTCTCAAATGCCACCTCCTCTGAGAAGCCCTCCAGGCAGATCCAGGGTGTCCTCCGTAAGCAGTTTGCACACCGCCCTGTAGAGTTTGGTCACCCCCAGACTGGGATTTGGAGGCTGGGATTCCAGGGGAGCATGGGGCACGGTGTCAGGTGCTGAGTGACATTTGCTCAGTGACTGATGAGTGATGCATAGGGCTGATTGCTCAGCTCTTGATCTGGCAGGGGGACTATCCTTGGCGCCCGCTGGATTCAGCCCCTCCTTGTTCTTCTCTCTCTGCCTCTGGCACAAGGCACACCAGCCTGGGATGGGATGGGTAAAGGTGTTAATACTTCCATTTTAATTTTAACTTCATACTGTGCTGTACTTTTATCTTCATTTATATATATGTTTATTACATATTTTATATATTACATATTTTATCCACTTATTTTACATTTTGACTTGTTTGACTATATGTTTATATTGCACACATCTCTGTATATTTATATAATATACCTGATAAAACATTCGTGAGGACCAGGATTTGTCCGTACAAAGATATGTACTAATTTGGGGTGCGTGTTCGAGTATCCCTTCACCCCCGGGACCCCGTGAAAACACACTGATCTAGTGATGGAGGAGCAGGGACTGTCCCTCCCCTGGGCCTTTGTTTTTCTGGCCTCTTCAAGCAGCTTCTGCCCCTGCCCAGCTGTGGATGTTCTATCTTTTCACTCCACACGCAACTGCCACCTCTGCCAGGAAGCCCACCTTTCCTTCTTGGCCTCCTCCCACCCCCATGGTGTGTGTTGGTGCTGCTGTCTCTGTACCTGGTGCTGGCACTAGGAAGGGGCAGCATCTGTGCTGTGGAGGAAGTCCCCAGGGGCAGGCCTTTTGCTGCCTGAGCTGTGGGCACTGTCCCTCTCACAGAGGTGCTGCCTGAATGGGCGCTGACCTCTGTCCAGAAGCACAAGGTCACACACAGCTGCTTGACCCATGAGATGTGGGTCCACGCTCACCCCGCTCTGGCCAGACCTTACGTGACCAGCCAGCCTCTTCTTTGGGACATCACCTTGGGCGTCTCTTTTCCAGGAACTTGAGGAGGATTTCCTTGGTGATGGTGCCCTCGGTGTGACACATTTTCCCCTCGTCGGGCAGGATGAAGATGGCCGTGGCATTGCCCTCATAGTCCATGAGCAGCACCCAGCTGGAGAGTGTGTCACAGTGGTGCACGTCGAACATGCCCAGGCGGTGCATCATGGGCACCTTGACGGTGGTGGAGTTATCCAAATGGAAGTCCTTCTCTGTGGTCTGGGCCGCATCGAAGGGCTTCACCCACTTGCCTGGAGAGAGGCGAGGGTGCGTATCAGCCGGGGCGGGGAGGGTTAGGCACCTGGGGTGGAGGGAAGGGGCCCCCGGCTGCCTCCTGAACGGGCCCGCCCTGAGCCTCAGCTTCCCCGTCTGAGCAGTGGCGCTCCCACGGACATCGGTCCACTGCAAGGACTTCTGTGAGGACAATGCCAGGCGCCAGCACGGCCCAGGCTTTCTGTAAGGCAGGGGCTGGGGGCTGCCCGTCAGGCCGGCCGAGGGAGCAGTGTGGCTGGTACTCCGTGCTTATCTCACGCAGGGCTGCTGGGACGGTCCGAAATGCCAGTTATCGGCCTCGGCCACAGCGGGCACATCCTTGTCCGAGTGTCCCCGCCCCTTGTGAGTCCGCGGTTCTCACCGTTCAGGGAAGGCACTCAGCCCCCCTTGCTCTGATGGCCTCCTCCTGGGCCCGCGGGGCAACGCGGAGGCCTGGGCGCCTCCCCTCTGCCAGAGCCAGGGGCCGCCGCCATCCTGGCAAGTCAGAGCAGACAGCAGCCTCGGGGGCCCCTGAGCCCAGGTTCCTCTTTGCATGGGGGACGGACACTGAGGCTGCAGAGGGGACAGGAGCCTCCTCAAGTCCCCTGGCAGAGCTGGGACCCGCATGCACGGGCCAGCCTGGCCTCGGCGCTCTCTGTCGCGCAGCTCTGCTTCAGACCAGGGCGTGCAGGGCCCAGCCCCTGACCTTGGCCCCTCCTCCCAAGCGCCGGGCTATTTCCAGGGCCTGTGAAACCGCGTCAGGATGCCCTGTGGGACCCACAGCTTTCTGACACACTTCCGTCACTCAGGGGGAGGAAGGCAGGCTGAGAGTCAAGTTTAGTTGAGAACCTACTTTGTGAGCATATAGTCCCACGTTCTTTGCGACACGCTGGCTCCTGACAGAAACGCGACAACAAGGGTGTTATTACGTTCACGTTCCTGGTAGGAAACTGGACCGTCCAAGAGGTAAACTGATTTGCCGATAGTCACACAGCTAATGGGCGGTAGAGGCGGGGTTTGAACCCTGGTTTCTGACTCTAAAGCTGTCACTCCTCTCACTCCATGAGTTGTTCAATGTACAATTCAGGCCCCCCTGTTTCCTTCATACACTCTGCTAAGAGCGCTTGTGTCCTGGCTCCCTGTCTGTGGAGGTGTGGCACAGCTGGCCTCCCTCCCTGGGGGGTTCACGATGCCCGTGAGAACGTGCCCGAAAGGCTCTGACAAGGAAGTCCTGCAGGGAAGGTGCCGCTCGGCCTGTGAGCCCTCGCTCCCTAACCGTGTTTGGGCTCGGAAAGTGTGTTAGGGGCTGTGTGGGGAAAGCCGAATAAGCCACGGGAGGCACGCGGTCACACGGCCTCCTGCACCGCCGAGGGGAGTTTAAGAACTGAGTGTGTGAGAGCCGTTTTGGGCGTTTCCATGGCAAGAAGCTCAGGCTGGTTGTGCAACCTTACCTTTAAAGAAGATGTAATTCACCAGAGCGAAAACAGTTTCTTTGTCAAGTTCTTTGACCAGATCCACGATTTTTCCTTGGGTGCCCTTCTCTACATAATCGTTGATCTCTTTCTTGGCTTTTTCGGAGTCCTTGAAGTTGGTGGAGATGGCTTCTGAGTGGTACAGTGTCTTGATGTCCTCCAAAAACTTCGCCACTAGTTTTGCGCTCTCATCGATGAACAAGCCGTTGCCAGTGGTCAGCTGCAGCTGGTCGTCCGGCCGGTTAAGGGTTCGGAGTAGACTTTGGAAGCCTTTGTGGATGTCAGCCTCTGCTCTCTCAGTGAGGTTGAAACCTGCGCCCTCCAGGACCTGGGTGTGCGTGTCCCCCTTGGCGCCCAGCGAGAGCAGGGCAAAGGCGGTGACGATGCTCACTGGGGAGAAGAAGATGTTGGTGGCATTGGACTGACGGGACGCCTGGCAGTAGAAGGCAAAAGAAAAGTCAGCCAGGGTGTCGGCGACCTGGTGGATGGCTGCCACCTGATCAAGCTGGGATGCGTCCGTGTTTTGGAAATCCTGGAGAGTGGATCCGAGGAGACCGTGTGCCCAGGAGGCCGGAGCCAGGCAGCACAGGCCTGCCAGCAGGAGGAGGCTCCACGTGGTGGAGGATGGCATTGTCCTGCAAGAGAGAAAGGGCATCATGCCCAAGTCAGGCGACACAGTGTGTCCCCTGGCCCCCGAGTAACGGTGCGTAAAGCCACCGGAGTTTATTAAATGCCTGCTTTGCGCCGCGCTGTGCCAAGAACCTTTCTACATATTCGGCACCAAAAGACTCAGCAGAATCACACCCCTGAATAGCCTGGGTCCAGGGTCCACCTTCTCAATGGCTGCACTAACACCTGCAATTACCCCGAGGTGCCAGTGCCAGAGCCCCTGTTTTACAGTAGGGGAGGCTGAGGCAGGGGATGCATAAGGGACACACTGACGATCATCCAGAAGGCAGGCCCGATCCGGCCCAGGAATGACTGGATCTGGAACAGCCTTGGGAGGGTTGCCACTGAACCCTGTGTTTAATGAGCAGAAAGGCTGCTGCCCAAAGGGGAAGGACCTTACACAAGGACATGTAGCCAGACACAATGGAACTTTGAGTACACTCCACTGGTGGCCGTGTCCCCTGGCCACTTACAGCGAACTTCAGGCCCTAGTGACTTTTCCCGAGTGGGAGGGCTGCCCTCACAGTGAGTCTGCGGCCTCGGCTGCGCAGAGGGTTGCGGCCGCTCCAATCTGCGCCTCTTGGCCACCGCCTGTGTCCCCGCTCTGGGCTCAGCAGTGATACGGGGTGAGACATGCTGTCTCTGCAGTGCAGCGGAGGTTTGTGTGTGTGGGCCGGGAAGGCACGGAAATAGCGTCTTTCACACAGGCCCGGGTTCTGGGGTCAAGCCATCTCGTGTCTCTGGCCCTCATTGTGCCTCCTATAGCAAGTGAGGTTGTTGGGAGAATTTAGTGAAACAGGTCTAGACACCAAGTCTTACCTGCTGGGATCTGAGGAAGCAGCTCTGTCAGGGAGGGGCCCATGGGGGCTGCCCCGAGGGGCCTTCCGAGGGCTGGTGGGGAGGGCGGTGGGCTCCGTGGCAGGGAGCAGGGAGCGGGAGGAGTGGCGAGGCCTGCGGCCCAGAGCAGGCTCTACCCAGCGATGGGCCAAGTCAGTGCTGCCCCCGCGACACTCTCCCGCCCGCCCCACGGTGCTCCCTCTCCTCCCGAAATGCCCAGGCCCGGCCCACCAGGCTGCGGCGCCCTGAGTACAAGCTGCTCTCTCCACGGATGGGGAAACTGAGGTCAGAGCAGAGGCGAACGGGCCTGCGGCCACATAGCTAGCTATGACCCACATCACTAAAATCATCACTTTAATAAAGTGCAAAGACAGAGGAGTCCTTGAATTTGGAATAGGAAAACCTGAGAGGAAGAAGTTGGAAATAAGTGCTGGGTTTCCCCTGCCCCTTATTTAGAAACTTATAAGAGTTCCCCTGGACTCTTAAAAGTTTCTTCCCAACACAACAACAACACAGCAAAGCACAACACTGGCCTCTCTCCGCCTCTTTTTTCCGGCCTTCATGCTTGTAAATACCCCGAACAGAGCAGACCATGTTGCGTAACATGTGTTTATATTTGTCTTGAACTGGCCTGTGGTGTTAGCGCTGAAGACTGGCGCCAAAGCCAGTCCCGCTCGCCCTCTCTCCCTCCGGTTTCTCTGGACTCTCCCGCTGGCCTTCTGCGCAGCCCTTCAAGGTCCATGGAAATTCCCTGTCTTTGCTGAACTCACAGATCTGGAGAGATTTGGGCCTCGGCAGGGTGGGGACACTAACTATGCTGAGTGGCCTCAGGGCCAGAGGTGACAGGACCACTACTGCCCTTGGGGAAGCGTCTTCTCGTCCTGAGACCTTGCCTCCTCACCTGGTCAATCGAGGTGGGGGTTGTCTAATTGAGGTCTCTGTGCATGAGGAACAGATTCTTACTTAATGGGGTATCTGGGTTTGGGGGAGGAAAATGTGCTCCTGTGGGGCGCGGAGTGGGGAGGTGCCCTCCCTCGGAGGGCAGCTGGCCTCTAAGAAGGTGGTGAGCCTGGCGTGGGCCTGTGGTGCGAAGGGGCTGCGGCTGGGGGGAGCACTTGTCGCCCGTAGCCCATCTTCTTGGGGGGGGGGGTCGCACCACCTCACTTAGTTTTCTTCTTTTACAGTAAAGGATGTGAGGCCCAGAGAGGCTCAGGGTTTGCCCAGACCACACGGAGACCCAGTAACAAAAAAAGCTATAACAAGCCTTGGTTTTCCCAGCACTTGGAAGTCAGGCCGAGACAGCCATGGCCTCAGGTCTCAGGCTCCATGAATGTCAGACCTGGGCCCCGAGGGATGCTGACATTGGCCTTGAGCCTCCTGTTGGCTTCATTTTGCCTTCCAACCTGTTCCTTACAACTCTAGGGGCCTAAGGCTTCTGCTCTCTCCTTGCCCTTCTACCAAAGGCAGCACCCCACACCCCCAAAGCCTAGGGCTGGGGAAGCCACCCAGAGATGAGAAAGGAGATGGTGAAGTGCCCAGAGGTGCATGGATTAAGCTTTAAAGCAAAAAGGATGCCGAGGGCACGGTGACAGTGCCACGGCCCAGGGCCGGCGGGAGCAGTCCCCGCTGCGGGGAGGGGGGGGTGGGGGGTGGGGGGAGGGAGCTATGCCTTTTGCCCAATCTCGGGGGCATAAAAGGGCTGAGAGTGACCCAGAGGGAGCCAGGAAGTGACTGCACCATAAGGTCACAACCTGGCACTAAATAAGCCCAGATGTGACCCAGTCCTGCCTCTTAAGGACACGTGACCTTGGGCAACAGGCTTCACTTCTTTGAGCCTCAGCTACCTGTCTGTAAAGTAGAGGAAAGACTCCCTTAGAGGCAGAGGTGAGGAACGAACAAGGTGATGGCGGGGCAGGCCCCAGCCAGGCGGGGGTCACGCGTGAGAGCCGGCAGACGTCTCCCCGGCAAGCGGCCACGTGGCCCAGGACCAGAGAAGGGGCCCCCGCTCAGTAATGAACCACCTCTGAGCATGGGACATTTTGAATTCAGTTCTCCACGTGTTAACTTATTGCCTGCGAGCTGCCAGAGCCGGTGCCCGGCGAGCGCCGGCATCCCCGTCGCCACCGTCGCACTTAGTGGTCCGCGGGGCTTTGCGCTCTGCCTCATTTCACCTCTCCAAGCTTTCCCTTCGTGGCGGGCGCCATCATTAACTCATTTTAGAGTCGGAGAAATGGCGGCCGACAGAGATCAGGGAACTTACCGAAAACCACAGAGCTAGTTGCTTATGGAGCTGGGATTGAACCCCAGGCACTTCCATCCCACAACTTGCCCTTTGCCCTTCTCCGTGTGGAAAGCTGAGAGGAGGCCTTGCAGCGGGCGGCCGGGCCACAGGAAGAGGGCGGCAGCACTCAATGCCTGAGTTCCACTCACTGCCAGCTGTGCGACCTTGGGCAAGTTGTTTAACCTCTCTGAACCTCAATTCCCTGGAATTGACAAGATTCACTTCCTCCTAGAGCTATTATGCAGTTAACCATGTGCGAAGCGCCAAGCTGTGCCTGGCGCACAGTCAGCTGTCAGGAAGTGTCAGTTCTCGCGGGTGCTGCTGGGGATCTTTCTGAGCGCTCTGTGGGAGTCTGGTGGCCTCGGTCGCCTTTGTAACGCCATCTCCAAAACCCAAAGATAGGAAAATCGTGTCTTTCTAACACTCCAGAGATCAAGGCCACTGGGGATGGGGTGAGGAGAAAGAGGACAAAGGTTCTCCAGACTTTGCCCAAGAGGACTCAGCGGTTAAATAACTGTTCAGGGCCACCCAGCACCCACAAGGCCGTGAGGCGGCCCGGGCTCCCCATCTGGAACCTGAGACCAGAGATAACTAATGTTGGCAGTGAGAACGGAATCAGGAGCGTGGGTTCTGGAACGAGGTAGGCAGGGATTGTGTACTTTGGGGCAGGTTAGCCCTTCGCTGTCCTCAGTTTCCTCCTTTGTAAATGGGAATAACCACGGTAACCACCTTGGGAGGCGGCTGTGAGGCCTGAATGCGAGACTGCTTGCAAGGAGCCGCCTGGCCAGAGCAAGGGCTCAGGGACACAGCTCGAAGTGCCCTGACGGTGTCCCTCCCAGGGTGTCCCATCTTGCGCCGTGCGCGAGGGCGCCCATAGGCCCGCTGTGCATAGGGAGGCCCATTCTGATACCCCTAGGCTGAGGCCTGGCACCCTTCTCTTCTGGGAATTTCTGCAGAGGATGGAGACTCAGAGAGTGGTTCTAGTCTGGCCTGGCTACCCCACCAGGATGCTACCTTATCCTGAGCTCTTCACTGGCCCTGACTGGGCCCTAGTTTTCTCATCTGCAGAAGGGGACAAAGATGCACACCTCAGGAGTAGGGGAGGTGAGGCCTGCAGGAATCAGCTGACAAGAAAGACGGGGACATGCATGCGCCCTCTAGAAATGCACTCCCTGCCGGGCCCCAGGACACTAGGCCTGGACACCCACTTCCGCTTCTGTTTACGGAGGGCCTGTTAATTCACCAGCACAGACTCGAGAGGCGCTGGGCAAGCTGAGGGAGCAGGAGAGAACCTCCAGGGATGCTGTTTCTATGACAACAGGAGGCCACCCCCACCCTGCTCTGTCTTCTCTGTACCCCCCCCCCCCGGGCTGCCTCCCAGAGGTCCTTCCGGAGGCTCGCCCCCGTGGAAGGTATACTTACGATTTACTGCCCCAGGGCTGGCTGGTGACCAAAACTGAAGAAACCAAGCCCCGTCCTCCACCGTATTTAAGTATTTAAGCAGTAGACTCAGAAGGGCCACGGGGACGCTGCTGGTGAATATTAACCAAGGTCAACTCAATTATCAGAAGAGCAAACAGGGACTAAGTCCATCGGCCGGACGCGAAGCTACCCACCCACACTGCCGCTCTGTGCTGTGCCCGGGGAGCGCGCAGCCCTCCGCTGCATAGGCCAAAGGGAGTCCCTGCACCCTGCTCCTAAACCGCAGCACCCCGTGTCCAGGGTGGGGTCGCATGACTCAGGCTTTGGGACACCACCACCTTCCTGGCACTACACCCCAGCCAGGGAGCGCTCCGTGGCTGCCTTACTGGTAGCAGGAGCTACCATTGGCTGAGCTGCCTTGAAATACCTGTTGCTGAAGATGCACTGCTGCCCTGGGGTGCGGTGCGGGGTGCAGTGGGTAATGTGCCCATTTAGCAGACAGGGAAACTGAGGCCCAGACCAGAGAGGCTGCTCACTCAAAATCACTAAGCCAGCCTCGGATGCAAAAACCCTCTCAACTTCCTGCGGAGAAAGTGGGGTGTGACTGATGGAGGCACAACCACTTTAGTCTGACATGGGCGGCCATGGGCGCAGGTCAAGGGTCGAGGGTCAGTCTAGACAGAAGAGCTGTGCTGCCTTAGGCACGCGGCCTCACCTCTCGGAACCAGGAGGTGTTGTCACTGGCACTGTCAGGGTTTGGGAGTCCCACTTCCTAGATGGTGACCAGGACGCACCAAATGGCTTACGTGAAGCGCCTGGCTGCAGCGGGCTCTTTGCTTCGGTCTGCGTGGCCTTCTCTTTCTACTGGGTGTGGCTGCCTGCTGAGCAGCACCATCTGCAGACGGCTGGAATTGTTCCTGGGGACTCAGTCCGTCCTGGGGCTGCCGCAGGCCCTTCGGGGCACCGGCAGGGGTGGGGGTGCGGGGTTGAGGCTGCGGGGCCCCCTTGCCTGTGATCCCTTGAGGAGCCTCAGGGAGACCACTTGCACCCCCTGCCACGCCCGAGCCTGTTTGGCGCACCTGTGCTTCATAGATACCTGTTGAATGAATGGATGAGTGCATCTTTGTCCCTTCTGTCATCCCCCAGCCACGGCTGTGGGCCTCTGCCGGGCGGGCGACCCGCAGGCTCCTCTAGCACACAGGTGCAGGCCAGGGAACGGGGCTGGCCCTTCGCTGGCTGTGAGATCTCAGGCAAGCTTTAGCCTCCCCGTGGCTCGGTTTCCCCGCTTGTGCCTGGGGTCACCGCAGCACCCACTCGTTCGGCCACTGCGAGGACCAAGTGCGGCAGCTCACGGCGAGCTCAGCGCCCGGCGCTGCTGTGCTCAGTGAGCCCTCCTGATGCTGCCCGCCACCACCCCCGCCCCTGCCCGTGGGTCGCCAGTATCGCTCCAGGTGGGCGAGGGGCATTCCAGAAGCTTCCCTCCAGGCCTCTCTCCTGCAGTACTCTCAGCAACCCCCTGAGGGGAGCATGCCACCACCCTGTGCAGGAGCACAGCTGAGCTCAGAGAGGGAGGGCTCCCCTTCCCCGCACCCTCCCGGCCCCCCAGTTCCACAGCCCGGCCTCAGGGCCGCGGCTCTTCCCCTGAGCCGGCCAAATGGGTAACTCCCTGCAGGGCTATGGGTCTGCCAGCAGCTTAGAGAGCTGGGCTGGGGCTGAGGGGAGCCCGCCTTCCATCCCTCCCGGGCACTTCTTCCCCTCCCCGTGCCTCAGTTTCTCCGTCTGTGCAATGCAGCTCCAAGCCCAGCTGCCCCTCCCAAGTCTTGCACTGGATGGACAATGGCAAACACCCCACCTTCCAGGCAACGACCTCTCTGGGTCCCCTCAGCTCAGCAGCCCGAGGGTTGGTGCCACCCCGTCTACCTACAGTTCCTGGTGCTCTGTCGGCAGCCACACGACCTGCTGTTGCCCGACTCCTGCCTGCCCCTTCTCCTCCTCCTCTTCTTCCTCCTCTGGGGCCCTGGGGCGCTGAGGGATACAGCACACAGGCAGTGTGCACCCTGAGCACAACGCCCAGCCTCTTCCCGCTGGGGAGGAAGGCGCTCTGGGTGGCCGGCAGAGGCCCGGGTTCAGGAGGGGCTGGGACCTGGGGCAGGAAATTGCCTTGCACAAAGCTGCCGTTAGCCAGGAGGGCATCAGGTGACCCGTCCCAGCCTAGGCAGCCCTGCATGTCACCTGCTGTTCCTACCATGTCTGGCCTGTGTGACCCAGGATGAGGCAGCCAGTTCTGAGCCTCTGTACAAGGGATGGTGGCATCTGGCTCTGAGGATTAATGAAGGTGACACATGTCATCCTCCAGTCTCTTGGTAGGCTTCCAGGGCCAGCTGTAGAGGGAAGAGGATGGAGCCAGCTGTCACGTGCCCAACGGGGACATTTCGTGATGGCTGTGAAGGGTCTGTGTGCGTCCCCAACCCTAGCTGGGCACAGGAGGGGTGCACAAGAGTCAGGGAAGCGGGGGCGCTGGAGGGGAGAAGGAGCTGGGGCAGGACCTGGCAGGAGAAGCAAGGGCTCAGAGCCACGGCCCTGTCCTTTTAGAGTCAAGAGCTCCATACTCAGCCCTTCCTTGTCCCCATCCTCCCACTCTGCTAGGATTTCACACTCCAGAGAGGTCCCCTGGATGCACGTCTTGAGAAGAAGGGGTGGGATAGGCTGGGAAAACAAGCAAGAACAAGATCCCAGTGGCCATTCTTAAAGGCACCATGTCCCACGAACCACAGGCCACGGTGGGGAAGCCTTGTTCGCTTGGTTACGTCTGGGACTGGCAACGGCAGGATCTGGGCTGACCCCCTGGGAGCGCCTACAGCATAGTGAGGTCTTGTGGGCGGGTTGTAAATAAGGGGCATCTGGGGAGACCCCACCCACGCCTCCATAGGCCCTGCCTAGAGAGAGGAGTGGGGTGGGGGGGTGGAGCGGCGCGGGGTCTGTAGCAGGAAGGAAGGGCGGGGCGAGGTGTGGGAGGGGTCCTGGGCCAAGCAGACCAAGGACCGAAGGCCCAGACTGATTGGAAGGGCAGCGGTAACTGCAGGGGCAGCCCACCTGTGGGCCGGGCACTCTGGGGAGTGCGAGAGCCCGCCTGCATTGACGGCCCTGTGTGCGCGCGCATGCACACACACACATTGACACACCCCTAGTCTTGGACCACCTCCTCCCTGCCCTGTCCTCGCTATGGGATGCCCCGTCCAGGCACTGGCTTCCTTCGGAGGGCAATATAGGTCAGGCCTGGGCTCGGGAGCTAAGCATCTGAACTCAGCCCCTAACTCTACCCCTGTCCACGCCGTATGAGGCCTTAGCCACTTGACCTCGCTGTGCCTTGGCTTCCTCATCTGTGAGACGGAGGCTAAGAACAGTCACTTCTACCAGGACTGTGAGATGATGACACATAAGATTTGGGGCCATCGCAGATGGACCCTAAGTTGATGCCAACCACTGTATGGCCTTTGGACAAGTTCCTGGACCTAGGAAACCTCTCAGATAGGGTTTAAGGGGCGGAGCAGGAGGGAGATTTGGGGAGCAGTGCTCTTTGTCTGGGGACAGAGAGCTCATTTTTCTTCTTGAAGGTACAAGGCAGGTACAATCGGCCCCTCCTGAGCACCTGTGAGCTGCAGAGGGCCCAGGGGGCCTGCAGTGGTTGGAGCCGGGCTGATCTGGGTCCAGTGGAGGGCTTCATGCCTCCTCTCTGAGCCTCAGTTCCCTCACCTGGGAAGTGGGGATAATGTGAGTCTCCTTCTGATAGAGTTGTGAGGCTCGAACGAGGAGACCCTGGTGAACGTCTCACAGCAGGCTACTCATTAGCATGGCCGACGCGGGCTTCTCAGGATGCCTTTAAATTAGTGGGTCGATCGGCTGCCCTAGGCTTTCCCTCCCAGGAGAGGAATTGAGTTCCCACTGTTAGCTCGGCTCCTCTTGGCATTTTGTGAATCTGCCAACTTGCAACACCCTAGCGGGCCCTCTTTCCTTCCTCTTTCCTCTGGGGCTGCTTCCTGTGTGTGGTTTGCTTCTTGGTTTTTTGTTTTTTGTTTTTTGTTTTTCTGGAACTAAGTGGCTAATTCATAGCTTCTTGTTTTCCTTCTCATCCTTACTCAGAAAGAAAAAAGAAGGCAAATCTACGCGTCTTCGGTGACAGCGTACCTAACAGAAGAAGTAACGCACTCCTCTCTAGCGTCATCCCCCCGCTTGTTAAAAAAAAAAAAAAGACATGTTTTTATTAAAAAACTAACTCTTCTGTTTTAACTTTACCCTTTTGAACTTATGGGCTACTATAGCCATTATAGACTTTGGGCTTTTAGGAGACTCAGCTTGCCCTGTTTAACTGTTGTTGGTGTGTCCTTTCGGATGGTCAGGTCGCCACATTTTGTCCAGTGAGGGCTCCTTTAAGTTTCCCTTTTCTCCCTTCAGCAGCCTTTGCTGGCACTTCACAAAGCTCCTCTTCCTCTTCTCTTGTACCAGGACACGGTGTCAGAGACCCTCTGCTGGGGGAGGCAGGGGATGCGGGAGCTCCCCAAGGACTTTGGGACTTGTTTTTCAGAAATGCCTTTATAAGCCCTGCGTGGGTGGCTCAAATAATAGAGAGCAATAGGGCTCTTCAGTCTTGCCTAACTCGGACCTTGGGTTGGAATGATTCAGTTCATCTTGTCATCTTTCCTGTTGACTTTAAGCATTTCTGTTTGCTTGGTATTAACGAGTCTCTCGCTGCTTCCGTTTTGCAATACAAACCCCCCCCCACCCCGAACTGGCCGCGTGGTGTGGCTGCTCACCACGTCCACCACAGCCGGCACTTCGCAAGCACGTGCCACTCACCAGGGTCTAGGTGAATGCCGGGCGGTGGGCGTGGTGACTATCCCTCGGTGCAGATGAAGAAACAGACAGAGAGAGTAGCTGCGACGCCTGTTTTTGTGTGGCCAGCAAGCCAGGAATGGTTTCTACATTTTTAAATGGTTGAGGGAAAAATAAAGAGGGGCAAAATATTTGGTGACACGAGGAATCGCATGGAATTCAGCACGCAGGACCCACACGTGGGGTTTGGTGGGAACACGGCCACGCCCATTCGTTGCTTGTCCCTGGCTCCTTCCTGCGAAGGCGGC